ACTTGGAGTAATATAGGGATGGGTGACCTTTTGGGAAGTTTCCCAAAAATTGTGTAATTAAGGACAAAACATGCTGAAAAGTGAAGTATTGTGAAATAGAATCATTGAGAGGCCAAATATGAGTATTTCGTAGCGACTGAATTTGCAACCTCTATAAAATTTAATAAAATAAAAAATAAATATTTAGCGACCGATTTATTCGGTCACTAATTTGGTCTCCATACACATCAGCAACCAAAATCATTGCAACCATTTTGCGACCGAAAATTTCGGTCGCTAAACAGCGACCAAAATTTTCGGTCGCTAAAGAAAAATTTTCGGTCGCTAAATAGCAACCAAAATTTTTTTGGTCGCTATATAGCTTTGCGACTAGGGTTTTTGCGACTACTTAAATTCGGTCGCTAAGGCAAATAGCGATCGATTTTAGCAATTTAGCGACCGATTTTGGTGGTCGCTAAATCCAATTTTTTTTGTAGTTCTTGTTAACTATGTACTGTGGTGTGTGTGTGTGTCTATATATGTGTGTGTGTGTGTGTGTGTATGTATGTACATTATTATAGCTATAATACTCGTATTGTATGACACTTGTGAATTCAATTATAGTTGTTTCTATTTATCTTGTCATTCACATTATATGGTACAAATCATTGTTTTAGTGAGATGATAAAATATGTCTTAGAAAGGACAATAAAGACACATGTTACGGTATTAATTAAAATTGAGTTGAATTGAATGAATTGTAATACATGGAAGGAACTAAGTTAATATAACTTGCAATCGCCATTATTCAATTATTTTAATTTAATTATAAGGATGGTGATTTGTAATTTTAACATATGGTGCACTCTTACAATTTAATGATGAATCTTCAAGTCATCACATGAGCCAAGTGGAAGAGTGTTACATTATTTAATTTAATGGTGCATCATGTATTTAAGGAATGACTTTTAATGAAATAATGTCTAATGTGATGGTTGTTAGACTTAAAATATATTAATTAAGAGTCATTGGAGATTATTTTAAAGTTATTAAAATTAATTCCCTCCCTTCTCACTTCATCAAAAGGGTAATTTTGGCATTAAAGAAAAAGAATTTGAAAAATGGATCGAAAGTTAAAGGAGATTACAAAAGTTAAGTTGATTTTATTAACTAGCATAACTTCTTTCATCCTCTCTCTCTCTCAAGAGTTCCATATTTACGCTTCCTCACAAAACATGTTTTCATGGAGGAAATTATGAAAACTTAGAATTGCCAAGAATCAAATAAAAGAGGTTTACATACCATCATAAAGACCAATTAAAGGAAGTAAGAGAAGGGAGCATAACTTATTAGAGATACTATATTGCATTATGGATCCTGATATGTTTTCTAAACTTTCTCATAAAAATTATAGAGTATAAGAATAGTGAGAAATATGTTATTTGAGATCCTTTGAGTGTGATTCTCTTAAATGATGAATTCTATAAAATTACATGTGATCATAAAATTTACTAACAACTACCACAACCAATATTATCATTATTGTTGCTATCATCAATACCACTACCAGTGTGATTGTATTGTCACCACTAATATCAATGTTGTCATCATTCTTATTTTTGCCATTACAATAATTGTCACATCATTACCATTACAAAAATAATCGTTATTATTGTCATTATTCACGACCAATGTCACTACTATTGCTATGATCACCCACACCACTAAAATTATCACTACCATATCTTTTTGTAAGATAATTTCTTTCATTTTAATGTAATTCATATTACTATTTATTAGGCCATGTGATGTACATTAAACACATATTTTGGAATTTATAAATTAAATTTTATCTATTTTTTTATATATAAAACTCTCCCAATCTTTTTATTATTATTTAAAATAGTTGAAATTTATGATGAATTCATATATATATATGATACAAACTTGAAATTTATAAGATGAAATTATGGTTAGAGATGAGGGAAATTTGAGTTTATTTTTATTTTTATAAATTTTAGTATTAGATTATAAATTTTAAAGGAATGATTTTTGTTAAAAACCCACTAATTAACACCAATTATTTGTCTCAAAATGTAATAAATATTACTTAAATTTAAAAATATTTTATATTGTACTTTTAGTCTTTCAATTTTAAAACTAAAAAAAATGAAAGATTATTTTAATTATATAAAAAAAATTACTGAATTCTTCCGTTTGTTTTAGAAAGTTCACTATCTAGCATCATGGTATATCTTTGAATTTGGGTTTGAATTTAATTTAATTTTTATAGCTAGCTCATAGGATGAAAAATTGTTCTTTATTTATATATACCATTTTAACATATTCATTGGTGAGTTTAAAGAGACCCAAAATAAAGAAGATTAAATGACTTAAGAATTTTATAGGATGAGTCTAAAATATTATCTTGTAAAATTATTTAGTTTCTATTTTAATTTCTTAAAAGATTAGATCACGACACGTAAAATTGTCATTCATTTAGTTAGTTATTTGATGTAGGGTTCATCAATGAAAAAAAAGAAGAAGTTTTTATCTGTATATTTTTTTATAGTTATTTTTGTTATCTTCTCAGTGTAGTTTTTTAATTTGTAGATTTAGTTTTACAATAGTCAAATTTTAGCATTCTATCAATTATTGTTTTCCCTCCTTCTACTCTGACCTTGTTCCTCCACAATGCTTTCACTTACTCATCATAAATCCATGACTCCATTCCAACAACATCACGGTTACTGGTCACAACAACCACCACTTCACATGGCATATCCCCATCATTATCACCAACTATCTCAACCTCTACAAGTCCCTTGTTTCTCCTCTTCCATCCAATACTATCATTTCCAAACTATGTCCTCTAAATTGTAACCTTGTTTCCTAGTATACCCTACTAGTTTCATCCCCACCATAAAATTTTTCCCCATTGAACCACCCAATTTCTTCTTCTTCATTGACCCAATTACCACATATATACACACATTTTTCTCCGATAAACAATTTTTCCAACCCATCTACTCCTTTGATTTTTCAACCACAACACTTTTTAGTTTTACCCGCACACATCTCTCCTATATGCACTTTTCTCTATGCATTTATCAAACAATCAATACTCAACAACCCACATCACTCTAATCATCCAAAAAAAAAATTATCCCATGCAAGTTTTGCAACAAAACCTTCTATGTCATTCATGATTGCTGATAAACTAAGCAGTGCACTGCCTATGGTTTCTACAAAGGGTAAGTAGTAACTCAGGTTTCTCTCCAATATCACCACAAACATCACCATTTGGTTTATTTTTTTGCAATTTACTATTCACCCTTGCAACAGTCTTAGCCTTTGAATCCTGTATTTGATTCCAAATTTAATATTGCAATGTCATGTGTTACCCAATGAGCCACCATATCCCGTTTTCCTTGGATTTTTTCACCACTTTTACGTGCCAAAAGTCCCAACTTCCTTTTTCAAGGACTAGTCTGATCCATATAGCTGACATCCATTATCCTTTTCACATGCCATTCCCTCCATTCGATGCTCAAAATTCCAACAATTTCAAAATCAAATTCACCCCTTTCAAGTTCAACATGCTTGTACTTATTCTAAATCCCAAGACATGCATTTCTTTCCAAAACTATTATTCACATGCTTTTCAAGTTCACCACAAATCACCATTATTCACCTTTTTTCCAAAAACAAAATCCACACATTATCAATTTGTGCAACTTGCAACATGCAATGCAACTTTAAGGACCAGGTTTTATGTCACCCTGACGACGATAATGATAGGTTAGGTTTAATGAGACCCAAAAGGAAAAAGATTATGTGTGTTAAAGATTTTATAGTATGTGACTAAAATATTATCTTGTAAATTTATCTAGTTTTTATTTTAATTTCTCAAAAGATTAGATGGTAACACATGTAAGGTTGTCATTCATTAATTAGGTTTGTTATTTAATGCAAGGTTTACACTATCGAGTTATCAATGAAGAAGTATCGGTTTTTGTCCTTATCTTATATGTAGCCTTTTATCTTCTTTGTAGTTTTTTAATGGTCGATTCTTATTTTTACAATAGCCTAGTTTTAACATTTTATCACATCTATCTCTTGTTCTCAATAATATTGGGTTTGATGCGTGACATGATACTTGATTAAATTATAACAAATTTAGGATAATCTTTTATATCATCTTAAAATTAAGTTTGGTCTTAACTCAATTCTCAAAAGTTAGCTCACAAAATGGAATTTATCATTCACTTATATACATTATTTTAGTACTATCTTATTTTAGCATTTTCTCTAATCAATGTAAAACTAGTATTTTTTTTAATAAATTCTATCTCCACTACTGCACTTGTCAAAGTATCTCTAAATCTAAAAATATTAAATTTTAAAATTTTTAAAGTTACAAGCAAAACATAATCAAAGATGGAAGAAACTAGTATTTTTTCGAATAAATTCTACCTGCACTGGTGCACTGCTCAAAGTATCTCAAAATCTAAAAATATTAAATTTTAAACTTTGTAAAATTACAAGCAAAACATAAGCAGAGATGGAAGCACAAGTTGCATTACTATTATATCAATTAAATGAAAAATATAGAAACTAAAAGGAATAAATATTTGTTTGAATATATACGAAGGCTCATGTCGACAATCAAGTTAAATTTATTTTTCATGCATGTATGAAAATGCATATGTGGATATCTAATGTTTCTATCTAAGAAGTATGCGAAGTTCAGAGAAGGACCTGAGATATGAATTTGAAGCAACCACCATCTCACAATGAAACATGATTAAGATGCAAACGAACCCTTAACCAAGAAAAATGTTGCTTGCATTGAGAACCACCCAAACAAAATTTATAGGCTTAAACAAAAATGCTCTTTTTCATCAAATCCTTGAATGGTCCATTAAAAGTTGTTCCATATGATAAAACAAATGCGTTTAATTAGTTAGAAAAGCACGTGAGTCTAGAAGATGAGATGCATAGGTCTTAACAAAAAAAAAAATATAATTATAACCCCTCTAACAAAAAATTGCTGCCAAGGCGCCTGAAATCTTTTTAACTAGTGTATTATATCATACATAAGAAATAAGAAATCAGTACAAAAATATGGTAACAAAGAGATCAACTTTTGCACCTTATGCCAACCTATGATCTTGGACGTGCAGACACATTGGAACAACTACTTACTCTTCCTCAGTTCCCGAGCATCCAGCTACAATTTCACCACAAATTCAAAGGTTACTAAAAATATAGCAAAAAGGAAAATACAGACAAATCTGTTAGTAGTTACAATGAAGTTAAAATTAATTGATTTTATGCACCCTTTAGAAAAGAACCATCTAAGAGAATGTTTAAATAAACTTCTCCAAAATGAAGTTTTAGAAGAACAAAATTAGGAAAAAAATTGAAATAATTTTATCTATAAACTAAAATTATCTTATGCAAAAGTTAAAAATAAGATTTTAGAGAAGTTAATATAAGAGAATTTCTACAAATTTATACTTACATTAATTTGAACTTATGGAGGAACATATTTCATTTATCCTTTCCATATTTCTCTTCTAGAAGTGCTTTTGAAAAAATTTAATCAAATAGGCATTTAGTTCATAATGGTTAATGATATTTCACCATAGAAAAATATCACTATAGACATGAAATTTGTATACCTACCTCCACCCAACATATATATAAATAAAATTAATTTTGTTCATAATTTATTAGAAACTAAATGAATTTAATTGTATATAATTAACAATATATGATTAATATAAAAAGTTTCATAATTGTTGATGTTATTAAAATATTTAATAATGATTAATTTTACATCACCAGTGACTGATAATGTCAAAGGTTATTGACCATTGTTAGTGGTTAAAACAATATATATAAATATGATCAATATTGTCTACAAGTGTCTACAAGTGTTATGAAGTTATTAATCATCACATGTGATTAATTAAATATATAAATATGGATAATTTTATTTCACTAGCAATTAAAACAAACGGACATGATTGTATTCATTATCAACATGTGGTTAATAATATTATGAGGTTATTGAAATGTCTATTAATGACTAATTTTGTCTCCAAAGTGGTAATAATGTTATGAGATTATTGAAATATTTATTATAGTAGTTAACCATTTGAAAAATAAAATTAACCATGTTATAAACATAATAATTAACCATGTGTGTTGGAGGTATACATGATGTAATTAACCACTTGTGTGAAAACCTTTCATTAGAAATCAAGCTTTTTTCCACTTACACCAACAAATGCCAAGAAAGTCTTTTGAATATATTATTTATAGTTAATAAAAAAAAATACTCAAAATCATATAGACTCCACACAATAAAATTTAGGTATAATAAGTAATAACTTTAGTGTTTTTAGTGGGGCTTGTTAATCAAATTTAGATTGATATATTGTATAATGAATATTAGCATTTAAAGTTGTTGAAAAAATTTAAGTCTAACATTAACTAAAGATACAATCAAACCAATGTATATATATGTTGAAAAACTTACACTTTACAAGTCAATTTTTTTAGTGTTGTGTTAGATACAAATCTAATTTTAAAATAATACTAGAGTTTATCCTAGATTTATTAATGAATATTATCCATGTATCAAGCTTGATGATGTTTATGATGAGGATGTATGTATCAGTAAAAATCCAAGTTTCTCATCGATTAAAAATAAGATAGTACTAATATATAAATGAGGGACAACAATTACCTTATAAGGCTCAAATACATATCGAAGATCATAAATATTTCAAACAACCTTTTTATGATCTTCTTATATAATAGGATAATAACCTAGTCCTTCAAATGAAACTATAATTCAAAATGAAAATAAAACCCTAAACAATTAAATATAAATTTTATCTTCCAATTTACTTAAAAAAAACAAAAAATTGTATAAAAAAAACCACTCTATCCTCTCTCAAATTACCTCTCATTTCATAAATTTTCTCTAACCCATAAAATATATCTTGCAAACCTAATTTCGATATTCATTCCCACAAATGCTTTTGAGACATTTTTTTATATTAAAAATGGAAGCAAGCCAAGATATAGAAATTGAGGCATTGAAAAAGAACAACATGGGAGTTGGTTTCTTTTACATAAAGGGAGAAGCCAATTGGTTGTAAGTAGGTATAACTAATAAAATATAAGGATGGGTCCATTAAGAGGTACAAGACGAAATTGGTTGTTAAGAGTTTTACTCAAACTTATGTGATAAATTACTTACTTTTCTCTATTGTAAGGATGAATATAGTTTGACTAATATTATCTCTTGCTGTAAATTATGGTTGAAAATTACAACAATTTGATGTGAAAATTGTTTTCTTGCATGGGGAACTTGAGGAGAAAATCTATATGAAGATCCCATCAGAATGTGAAATTGTTTCCAATTCTTTATGCAACTTAAAAAAGCTTTATATGGTCGAAACAATTCCCTTAGGCATGGTTTGAGAGATTCACCAAGGTCATGATAGCCTAAAAATACAATCAAATCCAAGAAGGCCACACTTTATTCATCAATTACTAAACTTTAAAGGAAATGACTCTATTATTTGTGTATGTGGATGATATTATTGTTATTAATGATGATCGAAAATAATAAAATCTAGCAAACGAGCTTGAGATAAAAAATTTTGGGAGTCTACTATATTATTTTGGATTTGAAGTGTCTCACTCCAACAAAGGCATTTTTAAATCTCAACTAGGTATTTTCATATCTCAACAAAAATATGTCACAAATTTTCTTTAAGAGATGAGTATGACAACTTGTAAACCTGTAAGTACTACTATAGATTCAAAATTTAAATTGGGTAAGCAGTAATGCACAATGAGGTCAACCAACATTTTGTTGAAAAAATAATTTACTTGTCTCACACACAATGCCAAATATCGGATATTTTGATAATTTTCTAGTGAATTTATTCACTGTCTTGGAGAAGTCCACTTAAGGAAAAACTAGGAAGAGGAATTTTATATAAAAGACAAAGGATTATAATTCTTGAAGCCTACCGTGATATTGGTACTGACTATGCAAGGACAATAATAATAGGAGATCTAGTACCACCAATTTTTGCACCTCAGAGGAAACTTAGTAAAAGTAAAACATAATGTTGTAGCTAGCTAGATGTAGTGCTTAAGTTGAAATTCAAGTTATGGACAAGGTATTTGTCACTTAATATAGACTTGAAGATTAAATGGGAAGAACCTATGAAACTCCACATTAATAATAAGTCAACAATTAAGATAACCCATAATTCTACTCAACTCAACATGGCTAAACACATTGAAGTGGATATGCATTTTTGTTGGGATGCAAGCAAAGTCCCACATCGTTCAAACAAGAGGATGGACATGGGTTTATATACACACAGTTGTCTCCATTGGTAGAGAGGCCTTTTGGGTGATGTTCAAAAGCAAAACCGTGAGGGCTTGGGCCCAAAGCGGACAATATCTTACCAATGTCGAGACATGGTATGTGTGTGGTAACCCCAATACTCAATAAGTGGTATCAGAGTCGATGGTCTAATTAGGTGACCGACTCGACGAGTGTGATGGCTGGCAGGTGGATCAAAGTTTGAGATCCCTTATGTCGAATGTCTTCCTAAATGGTGGAAGGTTAGGAGACGTGTCCCACTGTCATGAGGGAGGTCATGATGGAGCGGCGATGCAAGCACACTCAGAGTGTGAGTGAGCTTTGTGGGCCACCATCGGATAATACTCATAGTTTCCACTGCAGGGGAGGGGGTAAACCGTGGTCCTTTGTTTGAGGACAGGATTGTTGGGATACAAGCAAAGTCCTCCATCGTTCAAACAAGAGGATGGACATGGGTTTATATACACACAATTGTCTCCATTGGTTGAGAGGCCTTTTGGGTGGTATCCAAAAGCAAAACTGTGAGGGCTCGGCCCAAAACGGACAATATCTCACCAATGTAAAGACATGTGTATGTGTATGATAACCCTCGGTGCATAACAATTTTATTAAGCAAAAGCTGGATAGCGATTTGATTTGTTGATTTGTACTCCATATGTACCTTCACAAGGTTAACTTGATATTATTATTAAAGGATTGTGTGGTTCAAGTTTTGAAAGAATAATACATAAATTGGAAACGATAAACATCTATTCTCTAACTTGAGTGAGAATATTGAAAATATAGGCATTTAATGTTCATTATCCTCCAAAGTAGCTTAGCTAATTTTAGCTATGTTCAATGTCTCTTAGGAATTTGTGATATTTTAATTATTTTCTTGAAAATAGTTACAACTATTTATTATCTTGTAATCATTTTAATTACTTTTTTTTGTCTCATAACAACTTCAGTTTAAGATTTTTAAATACAGATTAAGAACAAGTATCACTTTTTTAATGCAAGTTTACTAAAATAGATTACTATCCCAATAAATGCATTATTTTGAATTGTAGTAGTTGAATAATTTATAAAAGAATATAGGCTAAAATCCTAATTTTGTCCCTTATAATATTAAAAAATTTTAATTTGGTCCCACTTTAATTTTTGGTTTCAATTTAGTCCCAATTTATTTTAAAATACTTCAATGTGGGACTTCCGTTGAAATTTCACAAGTAGTGTTAAAGGTCCATGAGAATCACGCCCATGATTCCAAATCACGACCGTGATTCTCACGGCCTGGGGACCAATCAAAATGTATTTGTAAAGGCCCGCAAGAATGTATTCTCCGACCTCTCCCATGCCAACCTCTTTGATCGCAAAGGCCACACCATGCTCACCCTCATTTCCCTCATCCTCCCCCTCCTCTCCCTCGTTGTCACCGACATCCTCCTCTCCGAGCGCGCCTCCGTCCACCTCCTCTCTATCACCCTCATCAACTTTGCCTGGATCCAGAGCCGTTGGATCAACTACTACAACGTCATGTCCGACCTTCAACACCTTCCCTTCTTTGTCGTTTCCTCTTCCTTCTTCACTTCCCGCTTTTACGACTGAAAACTCAACTTTGATTCCCTCGCTAGGGTTCTTGTCAGCTACCAGCATTTCACCTTTTACCCTGTCATGTGCTTTGCTAGGCTCTACCTCTTCACCCAATCCTTCTTCCTCTTGCTCTCCAACCGTAAGGTCGACCATAGAGGAGTAGAGCTTCTTGGCCTACTCTTGTTATGAATTTGGTATCCTCTCTTAATCTTCTTCTTGCCAAATTGGTGGGAGAGGGCTTTCTTCGTTCTTGTTAGCTTCTCTGTTATCGGAATTCAGCACGTCTAATTCTGCTTGAACCATTTCTCCTCCAAGGTCTACCTTGCCCCCCCTAATGGCTCCGATTGGTTTCAGATACAGACTAATGGCACTCTCGATGTTAGTTGTTCTTCTTGGATGGATTGGTTCCACGGTGGCTTGTAGTTTCAGGTGGAGCACCACCTCTTTTTGCACCTCTTAATCTCAGGTGGTTCCCAGGCCATGAGAATCACAGTCGTGATTTGGAATCACGGGCGTGATTCTCATGGACCTTTAATATTATTTGTGAAATTTGAACGAAAGTCTCACATTGAAATATTTAAAAATAAATTGGGACTAAATTGAAATCAAAAATTAAAATGAGACTAAATTAAATTTTTTTAATATTATAAGGAACTAAATTAGGGTTTTAGTCAAGAATATATTACGAAAAAAACTAATTAATATTACATTGAAAAGTGAAAACATCACTTATATATTTAAGAACATTTTTCAGATGTTAAAACTACAGTTATTGTGAAACGAAGTGAGTATAAATAAAGAGTAATATTATACATACAACAAAAATTATATAATAACTTCCAAAATATCATTTTTTGTATCTTTTTTTTTTTTATCGTTAATAATATCTCTCCTCATAATAAATGAAGTGATGGAAAAAGATACACTCAAAAATAATGTTATACAAATTGTATATTATTTTTTGTACGTGTAGCATTATTCATAAATAAATCAATCCCTAAGTAGAAATTACTGTCAAGCACATTCAAAAAAACAATCTTCTCACTTTCTAACAAAAGTTGATTTAATTATCTAGAGGAAACAATTTTGGATGAAAAATGATACTAAAAAAACCTACTATTTGTTTGGACATATTGACAATTAATTGGACTAATAAATCTCATAACTAAGTTTTAACAACTCCTAATTAGTAGTGTACATTGGAAATATCTAAAACAAGATCGCCATTAAGTAATGAATTGAATAGAAATAACTTACGCGCACTTTCACCATTCTTCTCATTCTCCATGCACTTGAGGAGGAACTTGAAGGTCTCAATCTCGCAAGGGAGCGTGAGTGCGCCACTGTGATCAAACCCAAACTCCTCTGCAGCCTTTTCCAGCAATACTTTGAACAAATGGTGGCTGAGGTAGCTCGTGGGAATGATGAACCTCCTGAGCTCAGGTCCAACATACACTGCCAAGTAACCCTTTGGAACATCCGGTGGTGGAAGCGGTTCGGGGCTTTGGCAACTCTCTTCATCTGATTCGCAACTCATAACATTCACCACCCTTTTGTTGATCAGTGGTGACATCGTCAACATGGTCCTCTCGTCGTTGGTGGTCTCGTCTTCGGAACTGGGAATGATGTTGGAAGCAGCTTTTGAGCGTAATGTCACGCTCTGCCACTTCTGCAGCATTTCCTTCAGTCTCACGATCTGCCTGATTCCAGTTAATTTAAAGCCTCCACGACTATCCATTGTTAAACTTCAATCACACAAGACAAAGGTATTAAAATCTGTACGTGGGTCATGATTGCATTTTCGAAATAAATGCAAAGAGTGCCAAATCTAACAGTAAATAGAGACATAGATTAAAATGTAAAAATTAATTGCTTGTATAGAAACTAAAAAAATGAATTTATACGTTTAAGGACCAACATAAAAAGTTAGCACTAATTTAAATTTCAAATGATTAATTAAATCTTTGTGAAAATAAATCCAAATGGTAAAAGGAAGAAAAAATGACTTATTTTCCATCGCCATGCAACCCACGTTTATTGCAGCTATTTCCACATCTCTCCAACTAATGAAAGGGAATCAATAATCTATGTTTATGGCAATCTCTGAGATTTTAATTAGTTTATCAAGGCAAAATATGGGAACGTTTTTGAATTTTTTTCAAAGCTCAACTTGTCTGAATTCAAAATTCATTTATCTTGATATGTATATTAATTAAGCTCCATGATCTAGTGCTCTTGTTTTCTCAGGTATCAAATTAACAGGTTCCACAAAACCTTAATTAGAAATGGGTATCAAATTAACAAATCCCAAGCCAAGATCCCCCACAAACCCTTAAGCCAAAAAAACAAAAAAAATCTGAAGTGCATACTATGTGCCTTTAATCTCATTCTCTGATACTTTAGCAGATTCCTTATTAAGATGATAAATTTAACCACAATTAGTAATGACTATGTTATCATTGAATTCACATTCAAAATATAATAAAAGGAAAGAAAAGGCATCATGCATGAGCCAGTAAGAAATAAAAGCGTTTGAAAGAGGAATAATAATGCATGAACATGAAGAGATTGATACCTGAAATAAGAGGGCATTAGCTATGAGCGAGATGAAAAAAAGCCATGCAGCTTCGGAAGTGGAAGCGGAAGTAGCGAGCTCTCCAAAGATAGAGGAAATGAAATGAGAGATAAGATCTGTTACGATAATGTTTTCTCTTTCTGCCTCTATTTCAATCAAATAATCCTCGCAACAAGTATTCGAATGATGACAACGTTGGTGTTCCAGCTTTATACGCTGAATTATCGGCGAAAAAAATAACTTCTTCTTGTGTTGTTTTGGTTTGTTTTACCTGTGTTTCATGCATCACTTGCTTAAGCGTCGCTGTCGGAAACACTATTTTTTAGTTTCCACCCAAGAATGAAGCCAACGACTTTTGTACACAACTTGCGTCCTCTTGCATTTTCATTTTATTTTAAATCAATAAAAGGAAAAAAAAATATAACTTATAAATTAGTAATGACAATGTTGTATTAGGGAACAGCACAGGACCATGGATCAAAGATTGAAAAATTATTTTCATACAACACATTATATGCGCGCTTACAATTCCTTTTACAATGAGAACAAAGAGAAGAAAATTAATCAATAAAAAGTGCAAGATAAAATGGTGGATATGACGGAAAATTATAAAAAAGAAAAAGTGATTTTATAAAAAAGGTTGTGAAAAGTGTTATATGAACAATATAATGATTAAAATAGATAATTATGGTATGAAAAAGATGGAAGAAATAGTTTTAAAATAAAGAAGGGTTTATTAATTTAGATGTTGTGCCTCCCAAGTGTATCTTTTCCGTGAATTTGTATAATTACTTAGTCTTTTTTAACTCTGTCACGAATACTCTCGGTGCATAGAGACATATATTAATTATGTTTCCATTAGTATAATTGTTGCTAGTCCAAATTTTTTTCACACATAATAAAGTGTACTTTGGTTTAACTACCTAATTAAATCCTTAAAACTACTTTTATTAAAAATAAAAATAAAATCTCCCATTAAAAAGTCAGGTTGGAATCTGACTTCCTATGGGTTGCTAAAATAATGAATGGAAATCGAGTTTTGAGGGGAGTGGGAAAGGGTGGGATTTTTTAGGGAAAAAAAAGTAGTATTTGGATAAATATATTGTGAGATGGTATTTTTTATAAATATTTTTTAGTATTATTTAAATAAAAATAAACTTGAACAACTAGGATCAGTTTAGTGTTAGAGAATTAGGACTAATAAACATGATTTTATATTCCAATTTTAGTAGTATTATTCGAATTAGGACTAATAAACCCTGACTTTTTAATGGGAGTTTTTATTTTTATTTTTATGGTTTTGTAATTCTGAAATAATTAATTATTTTTTATTTAATTAATATGTAGTTCAATTTTTAATGATAAAATATTAAACCAAATTACAATGTTCATATAACTTAATTATAACAATAAAAACATATATAATTATATATAATTTTAAAATAAAAACATCATACATATGTAATTGTCTCTTTAGTGCTATCCATCTCCACGTGGAAGTCTCTTATTTCGTGAAGGTTTTGTTCTTGTGTTAGGATACACACTTCACTTATCCTTGTTGTAGCGAGTCTGATCCTGGGTCTCGGTCTTCTCGTTCCTATCCGGGTAGTTCGATGTGAGGGGGGTGTGCCTGCAAAGACACTCCAACGCTCAAGTAAGTGCTCGGCGTAATAAATGCGGTAGTTGAAAGTTGGTTACATACCTCGTTGGGGTCCTATTTATAGGTGTTCTTATTGGGCCGTGATTAGGGATTGGGCCCCAGAAAATTAGGGGGGCTAATCCGATGTATTATATTAATTAAGCTCTCCGTAATCATCCTAGCGCAGGTACGGGGCTCGGCCGAGGGCACCGAACGTTCCGTTAAATCCGTGAGTGGTCGGAGATCTCGGGTATTCGACCTTAATGTTCCGTTCAATTCGCGAGTGGTCGGCGGGTTCGGGTTCTCGGGCTCGGGTATTCGGCCTGGTCGGCCACCATACGGTATACAACCCCCGCAGCGTCGAGGATGTGGAAGACGAAGACGATATTAAATGTGTGGTGTTGTGGTTATCGGCGCGGGAGAATAAGGGCCGGTTTCGATTGCTATCAGCGATGTGCGTATTCACTGGTTTAAATTGGCCTCGGTGATCATACCAGGACGTTACCAACTACTATGACCGAGCATGCGATCCTTATTGAGGGGCGACGATAGCGATCGGGCTGTAGCATAGGAGGCGTAATTGGTGTTTCTAGTGGATTTCGTCGACTGAACTCTAAGCCGGAATCCCTGGCGAACGAAAACCCCTGCCGAGGTCTCGAGTGAGAGAAGTCTAGGCTGAGATCTCAAACATGTGAAGCCATGCCACGGCCTCGGTTGGATGAGACCTAGGTCGACGCCTCAGGCGTATGAAACCTGTGTCGAGGCCTCGACTGAGAGAAGACTAGGCTGAGACCTTGGCTGAACGATGTTTAGGTCGATATCTTAGTGGAACGGAGCGTGTCGAGGCCTCGAGTGAGAAGTCTAGGCCGAGACCTCAGACATGTGAAGCCATTCCATGGCCTCGGTTGGACGAAACCTAGGCCGAGACCTCGGTTGAACAAGCTCGATGGAATGGAGCGTGTTGTGGCCTCGAGTGAGAAGTCTAGGCCGAGACCTCAGACATGTGAGGCCCTACCGTGGGCTCGGTTGCACGAAGCCTAGGCCGAGACCTCGGTTGAACAAGCTCGGTGGAATGGAGCGTGTCGTGGCCTCGAGTGAGAAGTCTAGGCCGAGACATCAGACATGTGAGGCCCTACCGTGGGCTCGGTTGCACGAAGCCTAGGCCGAGACTTCGGATGAACGAAGTCTGTGTCGAGGTCTCGAGTGGGAAGTCTAGGCCGAGGCCTCACACATGTGAAGCCGTGTCGCGGCCTCGGTTGGACGAAGCCTAGGCTGAGGCCTCAGACGTACGAAACCTGTCTCGAGGCCTCGAACAATTGGAACTTATATTGAGGTCTCGGTAGGCGTGGCCTGCCATGTTGGCTCTGGTGGTTACAGGCTCAACGGTTACTAAATCTGGACTGTTGGATGATCAAGATCCAACGGTTGAGGTTCCGAGGCGTCCTTTCACCTCCCCGTTTTACCCCGCCTATAAATAGGGGAGGGGGGTGCCTGGGATTTTACTTGTTGTAAATTCCCGAGCTCTCTGCATTCAAGATTTTGTCCGAGTTCACCGATTAAGGTATAGTTTTGTATTGTTTATTATTTGATAATAAATGGATAGGGGTTACTCTTCGGCTAGGAGCTGGACGTCCTCGGAGGTGTCGGGTGATGCGTCGAATAGAGAGGGGTCGGGTTCGAGTGAGGTATCGAGGCTACCCCCGCAGCAATGTGAGGTGGTGTTTCCCTCCGACCTTCCCGAACAGGACAGTGGGGATGAGGTGGTAGAGGTGTCGCCCCCGGTAACTCTAGCTGTGGCTTTGGCACAAGCAACCAAGGTTGACGACAGAGGCTTAGGGAAGGTCGGCCAAGAAAACCATGCCAAGGCCGTATACGCCGAGGCTAGTGGAGATGAGTTGGAGGTGATCAATGACAACCGAGGCAAAGGTGTGGCCGGGCCGAGTGCTCAGGTGAAAACGAAGATTGACTATGGCACCGTAGAGGTGCCTGGGTACGAGTGGGTGGACGGCGAGGTCGGAATATACTTCTCAAAGTTATCCGACCAAGCACTTTTAGACACGTTCGTGTCCTTAGAAAAGTGTTTTGGGGCTGGGGAGGACGAGTTTCCCTTGCTTGCCGAGGCGTTCGAGGATGATGGACCGAGCGCTGAGTTCGTCTTTTTGGCGTCGGGGCCTGATGAAGACGACTACTTCTACGCGTACATGTGCTGGTTCGAGGACCTCGACATAGAGTTGCCCTTTGATGATTTTCAGATGGGGGTTCTCCGAGCACTAAATGTAGCGTCGACCCAACTACACCCTAATGCTTGGGCGGCCTTGCAAGCGTTTCGGAACTTGTGCCTCTACCTTGCCCTTATACCCCGACCACTAGCCTTCCTCTTCTACTATACTTGCCGTCCGAGCAAGCCAGTGAAGTGGGTTTCCTTGTCTCGAGTGCCGAAGCGTGGATTTTTGTCGACGTTCACCTCGTCATATAAGGGTTTCAAATCCGGTTTCTTCAAGGTTCGCTGGGGGTCAGAAATGAAGAATTGTTTTTATGACCAAGAGGGGACTCCCCTATTCCCCTTCTACTGGACGAGGCACCCGACGCGTTTCGAGGCGATGCCCGCGTCCAAGCTCCCTGCCTAGGCCTTTTAGACATTTTTGAAACGTCTCATTTTGAGATGGCTTTGCTAGGTATGTGTTTTAGGCTTCGGTAATTTTTTAGTGTTTTGAATTGATGTTAAAATTTGTTTTGTTGTAGGATTGATGGCCGGAGGCAAGTTGGACATGACCGTTATGCTCGCCAAGAGGGCAAAAGAAGCAAAGGAAAGTGGACAGGTTCCGCCGGCAAGGTCGGCATTGAAGGCGCAACGGGATAGGCCTGCTCAGGTATTGATCCCCTTGGCCGACCCTAAGAAGAAGGGTAGTACGTCTCAGGCAAGCTTACCACTTCTGTGAGGTCCCGGCTGACTTTCAGTTTGACGTTAGCCGAGACTTCTTAGATGGTAAGTTCATGAGTTATGTTGAGTTCCCCCAAGGGGCCCAGCTCGACGCCGAGGCTCCTCGTCAGGGCATGTCCACCCGAGCTCCCGTGCAGTCGACCGAGGAGGAGGATCCGGTTATCGACGTGGTCGGCGATGGGAATCCCCCGAACTCGGCAGCAGTTTAGGGATCGGCTTTGGTAATGTTAGGGTAGGGTTAGGAATTTTTGCCTCTTTTGTAACCGGGCCGTCAGCGCCTTTTGTAACTTTGGCCGTTGGGGTCGGTGCATAGATGATGATTTGTTATTTGTAAGTAGCCGTTTTGCTCGGCCATAATTAATGGAACATTTTTCTTTAATTTTGCATGTATATTAACACCTATCAATAAAATAAACCGACTTCACACTTGGCAGAGGGGGATGATTTCGCGATTTGAACGTTATAATAAACCTAGAGTGTTCGGTTGGAGAGACTTCGCATTGTGATCTTTCAGGTTAAACATGCTCGGACCTATATTATGCGTTTTAGCGCCATGTGTTGGGTCACGCAAGGGTGATCGACATGAGAGTGCTCAGGTGTGTTTTTAAGGGTCTG